GATCACCCAGATCGAGCGAGTATGCACAATAACTTGGGATGCTTGTTGTCTTCAAGGTTCAAGCGGATAGGAGACCTAGGGGACCTCCAAAAAGCCATTGATCATGCCCAGGAAGCATTAACTGCTACCCCTCAAAATCACCCAGATCGAGCGAGTAGGCACAATAACTTGGGATGCTTGTTTTCTTCAAGGTTTAAGCGGATAGGAGACCTAGGAGACCTCCGAAAAGCCATTGAGCACGCCGAGGGGGAACTAGCTGCTACCCCCCGAGATCACCCACGCCGTGCCGATGTCTGCGCTCTCCTCGGTTCACGTTTAGAATCACCATTCTCACAGCCCCACCCCGGAAATGACCCAAATAGAAGCCTCCGCCTGTATATTGAGGCTCACGGTTGCCGCACCTCGCCGCCCAGAGTGCGGATTCGTGCGGCTCGCAAAGCAGCTTCCTTACTATATTCAGCTAGAAAGTATCGTGAATCAATTTCCATACTGGAGGATGCAGTCAACTTAATACCCAGTGTTGATCTACGATTCCTCAAACGCGATGACCAGCAGCACATGCTGTCGGAAATTTCCGGCCTAGCCTCAATTGCCGCTTCCGTTGCTCTTCAGGCCGGGAGAGATGCCTATGACAGTCTCAAGATACTAGAGCTTGGTCGGGGGATAATTATGGGCTTTTTAATTGACTCAAGATCCGATGTTTCGGACCTCAAAACTGACCACCCACTCACATTCGACCGATTTCACCGTCTTCGAGTTGAGATTGGCTCCCCAGCTGATGGAATCAGCAGCGCAAGTGAAGAAACGCCCAATCAACGCCAAAATCGTGCAATATCAAGACGTTGGGTGGCTGCTAATGAGATGGAAGAAATTCTGAGGTATATCCGCGGGTTACCAGGTTATGCTGGATTCCTGCTTCCTCCTACGCAGGATGCAATGATGAAAATGGCAGTGAATGGCCCAATCGTTGTCTTCAATTGCACCGTATATAGGAGCGACGCTATAATCGTCACCACCTCAGCTATAACCTCTTTAGAACTTCCCAAATTATTATACGACGAGACAGTTCGCCGCATGAAGGAATTGGCTAGTTTTGGAGGAGGAAACTGGAAAAAGCAAGGTCAAGATAATAAAAAAATGAAAGACCTCCTCATTTGGTTATGGGGTGCGGCAGTAGGTCCCGTTTTTGACCATCTTGAAAGCAACGGCATTCTTATCGGTGAGGGCATTGGCGGCACCAATTTGAACCGGATTTTGTGGATCGGGGTAGGCCAATTGAGTATAGCACCCTTCCATGCGGCTGGGGACCATTCGCGCGGGTCAACCCGTAACACTTTAAGTCGGGCTATTTCAACATATATCCCGACAATCAAAGCTCTCACCTATGCACGCCAAACAAAATTACGCCTGTTTGAAGAATATGGCGCTGCAGTTTCACCGGAGCGTTTTAAGAAGGCCAAAATACTCATTGAACGGAATCCCCGCTTGCTTCTCGTTCCGATGCCAGAAACACCTGGTGCGGGGGATCTACCCGGCGTCCAGAAAGAGGTTCTACACATACTCGATTTGGCTGCTGGGGGACCGGTTGAAACCACGTTATTGAGAAAACCTACTCCCGTCGAGGTCCTCAAGGAAGTTAGCCACCACGAAATTGTCCATTTCGCCTGCCACGGAGTGTCTAACATCAACAACCCTTCCGACAGCCACCTAATTCTGTTCAACCAGGATAGGGATAAAGCTGATAACCTCCGGGCTCGAGATATATCGAATCTTGTTGCGCAAAATGCACAGATTGCATACCTTTCTGCCTGCTCCTCAGCTAAAAATTCCTCGGACGACTTAGGCGACGAAGCCATACACCCTGCTAGCGCATTTCAGCTCGCAGGGTTTAGCCATACCCTCGCAAACTTGTGGGATACTGATGATGTTGCGGCCTGTGAAGTTGCGAGTGATTTCTATGACCTGCTTTTAAAAAATCGGGGGCACTGCGACGATGACCACCAGCTAGTCTCCGCCGCATTTCACAAGTCGGTGAAGAAAGTTAGGGATCGGATACCCGGAAAACCGCTTATATGGGCCCCCTTTATACACACGGGTGCCTAGAATTTCCGGTTGGTAGCACGCTCTAGAATTTCCCATCCCATTTCGTTCTAGTGTAACTAATTTTGAAAAACAAAAGCTTATTTCCTCAGCTCTACCTTATAGGCTTTATCGTTCCTCTGCTGCGCTCACGACTACATTTCTACTCTGTTCCAAAGACGACCCCCTATTTCCCTAGTTTCTCATCATATCAGCGTGTTTGCTTCTATGTGTGCGCCTTTCTTGCTTGTTTTGTTTTTGGTTGCTGTCAAGGGGGTCTTTTCGGGCTGTATTTTCATATTTGCGGGCGGGGAGGGGAGTAATTGAGTTAGTCACTGTTGCTATTGGTCTTTGGATTGCCGGCTTTATCTAACCGGGTATATCCTTTTATGAGCTTTCACTATGTTTATATCCACCTCTTTTCTAGTACAACTTTACACCAAAACTCGATGGGAATGGCGTCGTGGTTTATGATTCGGGATTGTCGGAATTGCATTTTTTTACTTTCTCCATAGAATGTAGATCCGTCTCATGTGTGATATGATGTGGCAGTAGGGAAGTGCGTTTGTTTCGGGTGTTTGTCATTCTCAGATGTACCGCTTCTTATGTATATAGGCGGCGTATCCTAGCATACAAATGGAATCACCGCTACCTCCATTAAGTTGATAATCCCCGCCGCTCTGTTAAGCCGGACATTTCTCACATCAAGGGAAGCGATTCCTGTGCCCACCGCTCTCCTCACCCCCGGGGACCTATATTTGTGCTCACCGGTTCAAAGAAGAGATCGCTTCGGCACTCGGAAGAAGAAATATATGCAGTGTTCACAAGAGGCCAGTCCAGTCAGGCTTGGGCCTGGCCGGACCGCCGGCTGCAGTCTAGCTTCGTGGGCTCATCTAGCGGGGGACGGCCGGACTGCGGATATCTAGAGGCTTCCGAGTGATCAAAGGTGATTGTCCCTATTCCGGTAGGTTTCAGGGTTCCAATAACATGGATTAAACGGAACTAGTGTATACGTCAACAGTCTCTGCTCGTACATTACGAGAATTGTTGATATTTTATGATATCTCAATAATAATTTCTAATCGGTTTGAATTATATATCATTTTCTGGAGATGGGGTTTCCACAAACACACTATCCCAGTCTATACAGAACAGGTTTCAAACTAGCTAGTCGGTTTTGAAGGACTCCGGGGTGCAAATATGAGTATAGAACCGGAGTCTAAGCTTATATTCTCGCTTAAATAGTTGTATTCAACCGGATCGGGACAATGGGAAAGGAAATAATTCCGATAGCAAAACGGTTAGGATGAAGGTTTCTAGGAGAACTTGGGTTTCAAGATGATGCCGAAGCGGCAGAAGAAACAACTCGGCAAAAAACTACCAACGGGCAAGCGATATATCTACCGTACAATTTAGGAGTATCCCGAGTGATATGAAATTTCCTCCAATGCTTTCCAAGGCCTAATCCCGTGGGAGGCATTTTGGGATATTGCATCATAATGGAGGACACCCGCTAATATCTATAGATTTCCGTGGGTATCTTCAGGTATCTGTAGGTATCTTTAGGCAACTGCGGGTATCTGTGGGTATCTTCAAGCATCCTCAGGCATCTTCGGGTATCTGCAGGCATCTGCAGGCATATGTAGGTATCTTCAGATATTTGTGGCCATTTCAAAGCATCTGCAGACATCTGCGGGTGTTTCAGTTATCTGCTACGCATTGGCGGGATAGTTACTAACTGCATGGCACGTACAGAAAACCTCCCGGCGCAGCCAGACACCCACAATGCCTGCAGGCTTTGCGAACGCCCGGCCTACGAAGCCCAGGACAGTTTCACTTTGACCTGGCCTGGCCGGAGTGCGTATCTATAGGCTATCTGCGGGCCGGCCTGGCCGCATGCAAACACTGAATATATGTACAATACTCGTGGCTCCAGGAGTATTATATGAGAGGAGAAAAAGAAATGACAATTGAAATATTAATACAAACTTCAAACTCTGTCTCGCGTGCAAGAAGCCAATTGGGTACCTCGGTGTCGGGTCCGCTAGTATAGTCGTCCCTAAGGTGTGGTTCCCGCCTCCGAGTAATTGTGGAAACCCAACATAATACTGGTAGAATGCGAGTTGACATTGCCACTCAGTGGCGCAAGTCCCCCGCAAGCTTTGGTATGATGAGAGGTGAAGCTCTGGGGTCAAGACCACGGTAATACATGCTGGTGAGTTGGGCGTTGGAGTGTTATCAATAGATTCTATGTGGGAAGTGGTTGTATCGATCTGTTGCGTTTTTGTGAGAAGCGGTATTTTCCCTAGGGGGGTGTGTGGACAGAAGTATCTCATCAATCCAGGGGGAACAAGCGATGCTTATATTCTTACTCTTGAGCAGCATTCTTGATTTAATTACCCTCTCCTCCTCTGTTTTGGTTTCCGGATTGTTGTTCGCACGCAGACCACCGCCGCAAACACCGTTAATTGTAGGGGTAGAGAGTACAAATTTGAATTGTCGAGACCGTAGTACCCAAAGATTCTTTGCCAAAAGAGAATTTAGTGGAGACATTGTGGTAGCAATCGTGAGGAGACTAGAGGAAACTCCTTAATGGTTCTAATACCGTACCAGTATGGTATCGGAGGCGTGTCTGTCCTATCTCCCGCGATACCTGGGGGCATAATACTGTGGTGTTTGTCCTGTGCAGTACTCGAATACAGGCCAAGGATGTTCCCAGAGGGTGGGGTACCAGTACTTATTCTCTGCACCACAATGGGAAGACAGAGCAAGCTCGGTCCTTACACACCGCTTTACTAGGAGAGGGGCCCATGATACCACATTTTTCTTCTATTCAAATCTTTAAAGGGTGGAAGCCGGTTTTACACCTACCGCAACGTAAGCAAAGCACTTTTCCCAAGGTTCTATCCGAGCAGGCAGAGCTGACCGATCGCAGCGGGTAATCTATTAAACCATGGGTATCCTGTGCTACCGCATGTTCAAACATTTGTACTACCTAGATGGCGGGAGCCTCACTTAGTAAAGGATTATCATACACCATTTCTTCTCAATTAATGCAACCTCCATACCATTTTCCTGTCGCACCGGCCCGTAAATACGTACAAGAAACAAGATCAGGCGGGTGAGGCGCATGAGAAGAGTAGCGTGCCGCAGCAATCCCAGATAGTCAGAGACCAGCAGTGATATGGTGTAGGGCAAGATACGGTACTGGTACACTGTTCATACATTTCTAATGTAGGGTACATCATATTAGGTCCATCCACAAAGGGATAGGATTCAAGTATTCTAGACCCGGAAAGGGAGGTGGGAGGTGGGTTTAATAGCAGATTAGATTTCGCAGCTAGGGCGGAAATAATATTTGGAAATAAGGAATGAGATAGGGTTAGGGGTGCATAAATTAAGAGGAAAGAAATATCGTATTAGTGATAGACGTCGGCTACTCGTCTCCAGCTGGACACTCAAAGATGCGTAGGGGGTTCCAGGGGGCAAACACTACTCGTACTGCGAGCAGGTCCTTGTTGTCAATTTCGAAATACGATAAACTACTCGAGTGCCAAACTACTCGAGTGCCATGTGGTATATAATTCGGCTCCCTCCCGTTATTGAGATACTATACAGTACTTTAAGTTTACCTACAAGAGAAAAGAGAAGTTAGAAAGCTGAGCAAGAGAGAAATATTCCTGCAGGATAAAAGTGCACCGCAACGGCAAAACGGATGCCGGAAAGTCAAACGCCATTCGCTAACTTTATATGCATGAGTCTCATAAGAGAATTTTATATCCCCGAATTTAGCAATAAAACCCTAACCTGAATGACCGAGGGGAAGACCCTAGCTTGAAGCTGCATTCAACTGCAGGGGTATTTGCTTAGGGAAACTAAACACCAAGGGTTCACACAAGGAATGATCGCACAACTCAGGAGCGGGGAAGCTCTCTGCTTCGTTTTCACTCCGACAAACGAGCTTGGGGTAACTACAAGAGTAGATACCACAAGGACAACCGAGTCCCTCTGCGCTTCCATGGACTACAACAAATTTCCATCCTATTGTTCGGATGCTTCCTTCTTGTTCCTGTTCCGGTGCTCACAAAGCAGGGACAAACTCCCACTGTCCATTGCCTCCGGACCTCTGACTTTCAGGCTTTCCCCACAGCTTTTCCGCTTTCCTTCCGACGGATGTATCAATCTGAAACTTCCGAGTGGAGATACGAGGTTTTACTCAGGTGAAGGCAAAGACCATTATTGATTGCTTAGAGATGACTGAGAGGAAGAACTTAAAGAGAAAGGTGGAGTACAGGAAGTTGTTATCTCGTAAGAGAGAACAGAAGGGAAGAAAAGACAGGGATGAGAAAAGTTTTCATGGCTTACGCGTCTTTCGGGGGTACAGACTGATAGCATGATCCCAACAGCGAGATATGGGGGAGCAAGTGCAGTGAGATAGAGAGATGTATGGAGATGCATGTAGGTGGTGGAGAGGGCCGAGAGTGTGAGCCCTTATTTGGTGATATGATGTTTTTGTTTGTTTGTTTGTTTTTAGGATAAACAGCCCTCTGTAGGAATGGCTGTCATCCTTGCACTTTGTAGTTAGTCTTCTTTCGGTGCTTTGGGGAGAAGACACGAACCACTCCTCTCACTTCACCTTCGGTTCCATCCACATCGTGATTTCTCACCTGCGCTGCACAAGACCTCGCCATCACAGACATATACTACTGATGCCTCCATGTATGAGCACATCCCGCACCAAGTGCGGCCATCAACTGCTATTTCCAATAGAGAGCGTGAATGCACCAGTCGAGTGATGAGTTGTGACCGTGGGCCTACCCCCCCCGGCGCCCCCTTCGGATGTTCGCAGTTGCCAGGTGGCCAAAGGGGGAACGCGGGCACGGAAGTATCTATGAACAAAACCCCAATGGCTAAAAGAGGTATGGCAGTGGTCGGAGGTTGCGATCGATGCAATAAATCGGTATTTTAAGAATGCCAACAGACCTGTCGCTTTCGACCTTGGAAAACGGATTCGGTAACTC